TAAAAAGAATGCAGTGATTACGAACTTTCAAATTAAATATTATAGCCAGAAATCTAGTGTTGTGACAGTCATTCTACTTTTTCTGCAATTTCCTCCTCTTCATCCAGTTTTTGCACTTGTTCTTGTTGCCATTTTTCTTTATCTTTGCTACCATATCACTTGTCACTCCTCGGTAACGGCACAATTTGACAACTTAAAACTTTGTACCCTGAAATTTTCTCATAATTTAAGAATAAGTCCCATATATATCGAAAGTCCTACTAAACTAAGGCCTCACCAATGAATGAAATAAGTCCTGCCAGTTGGAAATCTAACTGGAGGCTATTTAGTAGTGGGGTGACGACGAACTTTGTGCCGCTGGAGGCGCAGCACTTTGCTGGACGGCATCAAGACACATCGATCTTGTGGGGGTGTCGTTCAAGTGTGGAGTTGATATGGCTTGTATCAGAGCTGTTGAAAGTGATGCGATTGTGCAATGTCAAGGTGAATTAGATCAAAGTGCAGTAGTGTTTTGATAATCATTAAATTGCCAGTGTGTCGAATCAAGCGAACAACCAATTGACCCTAAAGCGCAGTACAACATATTAGTGAGAATAATGAAGGAGTATTGAAAAGGAACTTTGAGCTTTGCGATTAAACTAATTTCCTTGTTGATTTTGACCCATATTTATTATGATAGTAAGTATTTTAAAAAATCTAATAAAAAACTATTAAAAAAGTGTTTTTACCTAGTCTGTGGACCACTTACAGAAAGAGAAAAGAGGAATCTGGGAGGCTTTTGAATAAGTTGAATTATTTATATTGAAAAAAATAAAACGGAAGTTTCATCTGCGCAATGCTTTTCTACACCCGTGCACTTTTACCATTACGACTGCGTTGAATTCCACAACGCAGACATCGATGTCAACTAATATCGTCACACAAACGGTTGCGCTCGACGTAAGTGCGTAAATTTCCAATGGTCAAATTAATTTTGATTTCAGTCTTATTTTTTCACTTCGCATTAAGTTTTCATGACTGTCTAATTGTTGCAACTTCACTAGCTTTAAATGATATTCTACTTGGAGTATTTCTTATGCCTATTGGGAATTTTTCCTTGTTAGCAACAAATGTCCATGAATTAACTGTTAAAGTCAGTTCAGGTACCACTGACGGCGAATCCCTTCCTTAGCTTAGTAATCCTAAATGTACAAATGGTTTAAAAAACAAACCGCTTCATAACAACCAATCATTCTAATTTATAAAACAACTAGGGAGGCAAGTGTGGTCTTTGATATCCGTAGTTAGACAATGGGTCAAAGCCATTTCAATAAAAGCTTGTTCTTAAAATAATCGGCATGACAATCAAAAATCCTATTCCACAAACATACCAGCTAGCTACAAATTCCGTCTATGTCTCACATAAACTCTCCGATCATCTATTCTACCACAAGTCATTGTCTAATCACTGCTTGCATGGAGTAGAATACGGCTATGAGAGCAGTTTTCTTCCAACCCACCCCAAGGCGCAAATCTCCGCATGGACAAGTCATGCATTAGGAAGTATTAGAAAATATGGCGTCTTTAAGAAAAAGGAACAGACTAAATAGTGGAATGGCTTTGGTGGGAAGTAGAGAGACTGATGACAACCGGTGATATGCTTATTTGTTAAACAGGGCCTAGGACAGAAATACCTTTTCTTATCAGAGGTCGATCAGCCAGCCAGTCAGTCAGCAAAAACACTGACATTGGTGTCCTTTTGATCTACGAAAGGAATAGAAGGGCAAATAGGCTAATGCTTATACTTCTCACCATCCATTAATACACGACACGTAAATCTAATCCGTATGCTTGATAGCTCTTGCAATCGTGGAGTAAGTGTGGGCGTAATCCATTTGTTTCATCCCTCACATAAAATATGAGCAGAAGCCATCCCACACACGTGCAACTCATACTAAATCACCTGATATTTTACGCATTTACCCATTTTAAGAGGGAAGAGTTCCTCTTTCCTAACTTAAAGCATCGATCTTTGAGTAATCCATCACTGGAATTACGCTACTTACTTAAACCATTTGTGAGGCAAACTGGATGGTCCACCTCCTCCAAATTCTATGCCACAGATGTCTGGTCAATCAAGAAGGAGCAGCTGGAATCCCACGAGATGCAAACGACTTTGAATGATGTAAAAGGCTGGAATAACACGAGAGATAATAGAAGGTACAGTATGGAAAAGTGGCGGGTTTCCGTCATTTAAACAGATTAATAAAATTTATAAACGTCTAAAAATTAATGAGTTGGTACCTAACAGTGAAGGTAATATAAGGAAAGCACCCACAATAATCATACAAGTGATGTTATGAAAAGTTTGTTCCGTTGCCAGAAAACTAATTTAAATTTATCACGAATCGTTCCAAGTAAGCTTAAGGTGACTCCATTACCACAGGCAGTTATGTTTTGGTACCACTACAGGGTACTACAGGGTGCTATTTATAAGAGTAAGCCTCTTTGATTTTTTGAAATGATTGTTTTACATTGTAAATGAAGTGCAATTCCGATTTACCACCACCGTGAAAGAAATTAAATAGAGATGGTTGATGGCACGATGAAATCTTTTACTGTTTGGTATCCATCCTCAGTTGAGTTGGCGTACTACCCTTAAATAAGTCGGTTTAATAGAAGAGGAACTTTTTAAATGAGTAGTTACTAAGAGTTAATTTTTAATGTTCATATCCGGCAGCGAATGTTAATTTTCACTGAATGAAAGGAGTGCCATTCACCATAAAGTGGAATTGGCAGTTGGATTTTCTAAGATTGAGTCGCCTGTAAAGAAAGTAGCACAATACTCATGGTGGACATTCAATTGCGTCATTCCTCAGGCAGATTTTAAACCCATCTGCCACTTTATTTCATTCATTCCTTTTTGAACTCTCCCAATTTGGGTGAGAAAGTACGCTATAATAAAATATTTGACTCCCTTTTATAAGTGAACCAGTCGTACTTTCAACGGATTTTTTTCTTCAGGGGAACAAGTAGTCTCGGAGCGCTCACAGGAATAATTGTACTCACAAAAGTATAAATATAGGCCAAAGGTGTTTTGTCAACCCTAAAAGCATTTAAAGTTCGCTACAAATGAGAATTTTAGGGACAAGATACCAGTTCCTCCTCCTAGAATAAGATGGGTACTTTTCAGACAGCTACTAGTGCGTTTTATAGACAGTCTCAATAATGACGCATCAAAATATAAAGTCCTACTTCCAAATGTTGAACAAGCCAGGTGGAAGGCGTCATTGGATAGACAAACACTTGAGGTAGCATCTAGTCGCACTGCATTTGTATCCTCACAATTGGCTTCACTTAAACGTGGCGCCTCAAATCATTCATTTAATCCCTTTTTTATGAATGTGTAACAATTGAATGGATCTGGTCTTTAAGAAGTCGTTGAATTGATCATTGCGGTGGTGGTGCTGTTAGTAAAAACAGGATAATAAACCACCTGGGGTGTGTTGTCAACCTCTGTTCTGAGTCAGATTTTGACACCAAGCCTGTTTAAATAGAATGTTTGACATCCACACTAACGCATGCGAGACAGACGTCTACAAAATTCTTTGTGCCTTTGAGAATTGGATGCTGAATGCTTTAGACACTGTTATTATTTTCTGGTCCCTAACAGGGTTCACAAATATAGCATTTGCTATTCTATCAAGACCTTCAATATTTCCTATAACCTCGTCTAAACTAACGCTATTTGTTGCACAATCTTACAAAAAATTACTCAGAGATACTAATGATGAAGTTGCACAACTAATACGCACCGTAGTATGCAAAAAACCGCTCAGATACTTGAAGTTTGCACAAATTATGATGGGATTTTAAGGGTTAAGTAAAAAAAGAGCTCAAAAGTTAAAAAGCGAAACTGTTTTGAATGAATATTTTCATCATCTACAAACGTACTCCCATCTTTTGGCAGGTGATTGACAACGGAGCATCGGAGGCTTTGCTTTGCTTCATCTCAAATTTATCCCCAACCGCCAGCTGACTTGAGACATTTGAGCAAGAAGAGTTGTCTCATTGCTAAGAGTATAGAGTTGAGAAAAAAGAAACACTGATTTATTTGCATTCT